AAAAACCAACCGTTGAGTCATTCAAATTGCACAGGTTATTGAGTATCCTCGACAAAATTAACTTTTGCTGAATGGCTCGTGATTCGAAAAATTCGCTCTCACTATAAATAGGGCAATAACATTTAGCAGTGCAATGACTTTGAAGTAAGAAATCTGAAGCTAATAAAAAAATTGCTCTTGGTATTTTTTAGATCATCCGCACATCCGTCGAAATTTCTTCTGAATGACAGTTCGGAATTTCTTAAATTGAGCAGAATTTTACCGCTTATTCATGAAAGATTTATGATCAAATCCCACAAATCATGATAGGCCTACTCAATTTACAAGTATTTACAATGTACAAACATTGCAGAAAAATTTCTACAATTTTTTATCAGAAGGATCCTCTTTTGTTTCCAATGGATCTGGTGAAGTCACTGCGTAGTCGTTGTACTGAAGATTATAGTCTCCTCGATACCATGACGTCATAAGACTCTTGAACTCTGGAAATTTAAAAAATTAGTCAATGCAAGAATTTTCCGTAAAAGAACGAGAAAACTTCTCGGTTATCACTATGGTATATTTAAGCCCTTCCAGAGTGAGACGATTGAGCATTCTTGCAAAAAAAAATACAAAATATAGTGTTGAAACTTCTTTTTAAGAAAAAAGTAGCACTAATTAACATATACAATTTTTTGAGAAAAACCGCAATTGCAGATTTTGCTTGATCACTGATCACATCCCATCATATGTGTCACAAACAATAGCTAATCATAGCGCCAATTTGCTCAAAAATCTCTTCTCAGTTTACTTAGCGGCTCTATCGCTTTTTTTCACGTGATAAAGTAAATAGAGATTGAATTTACTGTTGGGATCTGAGAAAGTGCAATCGAGGTTTTTCGGCTGACTATGAATAACATTGAAAATGATGATCAGGGTCCTCTGATGGTCTGAAATCTCTGTGAAGACGATTATGGAAACAATTCACCAGACAACTCACCCTTCTTGCTCAGCCTACCATCGCTATCGAAGTCTTTTTCGCGGAAAAGACGTTCCCAGTTCTCGTCTGCATGAACTTTCAGCACATTCTCAGCATAATCTACTCCTTCTTTGTAGGATACGAAGCCGTC